ATCGGGTCACCAGGTATGACCGCGGGCACTGGGTCATCAGGCATTGGATCGTCTGGCTCGACAGCGGGGGCCCTGGGTCATCAGGCAGGTGTGATAGGATCATCAGGCTGGATCAGTTCATCAGGCTGGGTACAGACATCAGGCTGGGTACAGACATCAGGCTGGGTACAGACATCAGGCTGAAGTGCGGGTGCCGAGGCACCAGGCTGAACCACGGAAGGCAGGTTCTCAGACGGCAGGCTCACCGGTTTGGATACTGGCAGGATGGTATTGGTTGGAAAGAATTTCTGCTTTTTTCTGGTTTTAACTACTGGAGCACTGCAAGTAAACGCAGGTCTGCAAACGGATGGAGCAGCTGAGGACAGAGAAGAGCTGGAAGATGGAACAGAGGAGGGAGCAGTTGCTACAGAGGACTTCTTTACAGGGTTAAAGAAAGGATAGGTGCAGCTAGTGGGAGCAGAGGACTGGTATGTGGTAGTTAGAGTATACTGGGCAGTCACTGGGGGTGCTGTCGGGGATGCAGGAAGAGTGCCTTGAGTGGAGGAATGATGTTGTAAGCTGACTGAGGCTGGGTGCAACAAGTCTGTCCATGTCTGCAGTATGGGTTGAACAAAGCTCAGCTTACACAAAGCCTGTCTGACCAAAGACTGCACTGCGTTTATACAATCTCTTAGTACCTGTGGTGAACATGTGGAATAACGCTCCAGAAAGTAACCCACATCATCCTCTAATAACCACACCAGGGACTCTACCTGGTCTGCACTAAATGGTGGCAAAAATTCATCCCTGCATTCGGGGGTACCAGATGAAACCAACTCCGCACAAACCTCAATCAAAGGCTGCACCTCAGAGAACTCTGTGCCCTGATCTACTAGAACATGAGCGATCCGTATACATTCTAGCAGTTCATCCCGGGGATACTCCTTCAGAGTCTGATAAGCATACTCTCTGTCATCACACACTAGCAGAGATAAATACACAACCTCATCAAGATCCATCCTTCCCAGCAACAAGCCAAGATGGCTTCCCTGTGCAGCCACTTCTGGTCAGGATTGGCCTTGGTGTAATGTCAGGGCTCCAGGGTATGACCAGAGGTATGTGAACTGACGCAGGGAAACGCAGACTTCAGATAAGTTATAAACAATATAATTTATTAACACTAACAATACAAAATGCAGTGCAATACTAAAACATAACACAGTGCAAACAAACCAAACCACCCACAGATAACAGTACATACAATGCAAGCGTCGTCAGGCAGGCCGGGTCAATAACAAACGGGCAGGTAGGTACAGGAGGAGCAGGCAGAGAGTAGTCAGGTCACGAGCCGGGTACAGCAACTAATGGGCAGGTAGGTACAGGGCATCAGGCAGAGAATGGTCGGGGTCACAAGCCAGGGATCAGAACAGGTCGGCAACAAGACAGGAACAGGAATGTAGGAGCAAGATACAGGGCCCAGGAAAAACACACACCAAGGCGGAGACTGCAGGTCTGGCCATCACTTAAATACACCTGCCTAAGCAGTTTCAGGTGTTTGGCTGGCTGCAGGGTTGAGTCTCTGATTGCTGGGAGCACCCGCTGGCCAGCCCTGGTACTGCAGCCCACAAGGCAGGTGAGTCCCACCATTACTGGCAAGTCCATTCCTAACAAACACCCTGTAGTGTGCCTGAGCAGAAAACAAACGTAATGAACATGGAAAGAAATATGCAGTAATTGACAGGAAATGTTCAGTCATAAAGTGGGCCTTGGATGCTCTAAGATACTATTTGTTAGGGTGAGTTTTGACCTGATAGCTGACCATGATCCCCTCAATGGGTGGCCCAAAAGAAGAAGACAAATAGACGGGTGAACTGGTGGTTTTTGGCTCCTCAAGATTATTCCTTCATGGTAAAACACAGACCAGGGGCTAAGATGGGAAATGTAGATGCCCGGTCCCGGGTTCACTCCTGTTGGGCCACAGCTGTCCCAACCCTGGGGATGAAACAAGGGGGGATATATAGCAGAGTGTCTCAGAGGGAGCTGGGAAAATCCTCTTCTGGGTTCACACATCTCCCAGGCTCCTCTCAGGTTTCACGCCTCTCCCTGGGTGTAATTTATACTCACCAGAAACATGCAGTCAGAGCTCTCATACCTGGGAACAGACAAGTCATGTCTGGGAGAGATGGAAGGTTGGTGGAAGCTGTAAAACTGCATCTTTGGAGACTGACAAGCACTAGGCTTGCTCACCCTGATAGGACAAGAAATGGCGGCTGCCCCAGTCTATAACTGACCTTCACAGCAAGGAGCACTTGAACGGGCAACGCATGTCACACAACAAAAGAGAAAAGTTCCCGGCTCAACTTGCCAGCCATCCTGCAAACAAACCAAATTACCCCGTCTAACAGTATGCGTTAAAAACGGGTTTAGTTAGCACACATTTGCAATCACATTGTAAGCTACAGAGCCACGTCACGGCACCCCGATATTCTGTAGTCCTAACTCTACAAATTTTTGTGAGCCCCCATAGTAGAGGCACATGTATTTAATGTATAGACCAAGGGAATGTGAACCTGAGGGAGCCCACCCCTCTTCAAAGGTACAGGAGCGCACCGAATACCCAGCATATTGCACAATGGCAGCCAAGTTGTCCAGTGTGTCTCCTCCCCAACAATTCAACGGAACAAAAAATGGCCACTGCCCCAGTACCCTGATAGTCAGGAATCATGTTTGTGTAGTTAGTGCGGGACACGGCTAGGATTTTGGTTTTGAGGTTTTTGCCGTTACTTTGTGGAACATTGTACAGCACCTGTAAATAGCACCAATAAACACTGCACTGTGTGACACCACATCACTGGACTGGTATCTGTCCCTGAAAGTGTGCCCATCCCAGGGAGCTTTGTACCCTCTACCCATCCCCAGCTCACGATTCAGAAACATTGAACTGCAATTACCACTGCTCTGACCAGTCTTCCAGCAACACCAAATCCTGTTCCATGTTACAGGTACCTCCAAGTTCTATATGTAGTCTCGGGGGTCCCTATGGAAGTCCATGTGTGGACATTTCTACCTATGATAAATGACAGGCTAAACCCACCTGGAGACCTGGGGTCACTGTACAGGTTCTATATGTAGTCTCGGGGGTCCCTATGGAAGTCCATGTGTGGACATTTCTACCTATGATAAATGACAGGCTAAACCCACCTGGAGACCTGGGGACACTGTACAGGTTCTATATGTAGTCTCATGGGTCCCTGTGGAAGTCCATGTGTGGACATTTCTACCTATGATAAATGACAGGCTAAAACCCACCTGGAGACTTTCTCCACACCTGGAGTGTGCTGAGTTCTTGGAGAACGTCTACACAGTGTTTCCAGATTGGCTTTATCACCCCAACGAGCTCGCTCCAGTTCATGGATGTCATCATTATGTTTGGAGGATCTCACCAGTCAGGAGCCTTTCCTGTCATCCTACATGTTCCCTTCTGAGGATTGTTCTATCCTTCCAAACAAATGTATGAAATCATGGATGAGTCCTCCTTCTATGTGATCTAGAAGATCTTCAATCACAATGTCTTTATGGATGAAGTGGATGGCCCAGTTTATATATTATTTATTGCTTTACAGCTTTATTCCCTCCAGGATTCATTCTTTATTTATAGAACCATTCAAGGAAGTGTTCTTACTGTGAGAGATCTCCACCACCATTCCTCTGTGACCATTACATCCTTGTCATTTATGTCTAACATCTTCATTATCAGTGGATTGATATTTATTATTATACTTTAGGATGTATTTTTGCATTTTGTTCAACAAAAGGATCAGTTTTGGTGTTATCTGTTTTATTAACTATACATTTGGTTTTTGTGTTCTGTGTTTTTAAGACTTTTCTATATGTAATAAAATATCTTTATTAAACATAAGAGCTATTTTTATTATTATTATTATTGAACTTCCCCAGTAGCCCTGTAAGGTAGATATAATACAGGAATGGATATTATGAGATGTTTCTGCAGTTCCTCTTTGCTTGAGATGATTGTAGCCGTATTAGTGCACTTGTGACAGAAACAATTGAGTACTGTCTGAGATACTTTTTTTATTTGCACTAACATACAATTTTGAGGACAAGCTTTCGGGGTATGTCCCCTTCTTCAAGGTCCAAGCAGTGCTTGTCCTCAAAATTGTATGTTAGTGCTAATTAAAAAAAGTATCACAGACAGTACTCAATTGTTTCTGCAGTTCCTCTGAAATCCACAAGGTGGTGATCTCACTTATATCCAAACAGAAGGTCTCTATGGAATACAGACAGGAAGTGATGTCAGGTACAGACATCAAGTGATGTTAGGTACAGACAGGAAGTCATCTGGAATAAAGACAGGAAGTTCCATACAGTAAGAACCAGCAAGAAGACGGTGGAAGTGGCAGCAGAGGAGGTAATAAGATGCTATGTTCTATTTACACCCAGTAACCCCCCATCATGTCCGTCCTCTTCCTCCATAGTCATATACGTCCTCTTCCTCCATAGTAATGTCCGTCCTCTTCCTCCAAAATCATGTCCGTCCTCTTCCTCCATAGTCATGTCCATCCTCTTCCTGCATAGTCATGTCCGTCCTCTTACTCCATAGTCATGTCCATCCTCTTCCTCCATAGTCACATCCATCCTCTTCCTCCATAGTCATGTCCTCCTCTACCTCCATAGTCATGTCCGTCCTCTACCTCCATAGTCATGTCCGTCCTCTTCCTCCATAGTCATGTCCGTCCTCTTCCTCCATAGTCATGTCCGTCCTCTTCCTCCAATCATGTCCGTCCTCTTCCTCCATAGTCATGTCCGTCCTCTTCCTCCATATGTCCGTCCTCATAGTCCGTCCTTTTCCTCCATAGTCATGTCCATCCTCTTCCTCCATAGTCACTGTGACGTCTTTTATCTCCAGCAGATGATGATACACACATATATAGTGTGGGAACCCAGATTAACCCCTTCAAGGGCAGAACATTCCCCCACTTCCGGGCCGGAACATTCTCCTCATTGTGGAGATAAATTCTAGTAATATGGTCCTCTAAGGGTTCTGATGGATGAAGGGGAGCTGAGGGATCTATTTGGGGGTACAGAGGATGGAGGACTTTGGGGCCCCTTGGAGGGTAGTGGAGTTCAAGTTCTCTGAGGGGGTAGAGTAGCTGAAGGACTTTGGGTCCTTGATAGGAGAGATCTCTGAGAGAAGAGGAGGTACTATGGCTCAGGGAGTCGCTGAGTTAGGGAGGGGGGCTGTTGGTCTATGATGGTCCTCCTACCTGAACTTACTTTCAGACCTCCTTACAGAACTCCAGCCAAGAAAAGAAGGACAACCTTCACCTTCTTACCATCTCGCCGGTCAAATAATATTGTCCAAGTGGAATGAAGGACAGTCTTCACCCCTTGGTGGGCACTTGTTTCTAAAGGAGGTCTGTATGCTCAGCATAGACTAAGAGGTAGTCAGGGGTCAGTGCTATACATCTTCCGGAGACAGTCCCATACCTTCCCATGACACAGGCTCTGGCAGTGCTCGGTGCTGGAATTCAGAGTCCCAGGAACCCACCACCACTCTGTACAATATCCTGGATATTACAGTATATTTGGCAACCAAAGGTCTTCCCCTGTTGTCCCCCTCCTACCCACACTGAGCTGCCATTGGAGGGAGGAGAACAGACTCCTCCCCCAAAGCTCTCTGTGCTCCACCAGCAGCATCCTCCTGCTATCCAATCCAATCCCTTCTCTTACTGAAGAGAGTGACAGTGACATCACTCCTGTCAGTCAGCAGGCTGCCGGAGATTGGAGCCTTGCAGCCGGATATCGGGCAATTATCCTGATTATCCAGCAACTCCAATCAAAAGTCATCAAGTTCCCCTTCCTGGACCTCATGATGAGCCGACATTGACCTCACAGCACTGCCTCAGAGCAAACAAGTCATAGGAAGGATCAGATTTATCATTCCTTGTCTGCAGATCTAATACTCATCAAAACCAGTTCAGAGACCAAACAAACCCAACAGAGAAAAGGGGATTTCTGATCCAGCAAGCCCAGGACCCAGGACCTTGAAAATGTACTAAATGTTAAGCAGTCCCAGCGATGTGGAAATTTATCAAAAAACTATTTGTCCAAGGGACTAAATCGGGGTCCCAAACTACTTGTCCCTCATGACAATCTACTTGTCCTGATAAAAATAATAATTGAACCCAAACCATATATAAATCCGGTGTTTATTGTTCTACTATTACTGAATGAGACGTTTTATCACGAAGGACTGTCAATGGATGGATGTCCCTTTATAGCATGAAATGACTTTGCCAGGGTGGAGAATATGAAGGTTGATGCACATGGGAGCACTTGGGTGCTCAGTACAAGCACATGCTGAGCAGACAAATCAAGCTCCAGTGTCCTCCAGGATTGGATCATTTTGTTTTCTGTTCAGCCCACTGATTGGATGAACAATATGAGTAATGTATGGACTGCCTTAATGAGCCGACCTTAAAGAAGAATTTCATTCCAACCAGCAACTGTTGGGACAATGAACATCTTAGTCAGGTCTACATACAACATAATGTATAGAGTGCAGGGGCCAGGAGTAAGTACAAAACACAACATATAGAGTGCAGGGGCCAGGAGTAAGTACAAAACACAACATATAGAGTGCAGGGGCCAGGAGTAAGTACAAACACAACATATAGAGTGCAGGGGCCAGGAGTAAGTACAAACACAACATATAGAGTGCAGGGGCCAGGAGTAAGTACAAGGGGCCAGGAGTAAGTGCAGGGGCCAGGAGTAAGTACAAACACAACATATAGAGTGCAGGGGCCAGGGAGTAAGTACAAACACAACATAGAGAGTGCAGGGGCCAGGAGTAAGTACAAAACACAACATAGAGAGTGCAGGGGCCAGGAGTAAGTACAAAACACAACATAGAGAGTGCAGGGGCCAGGAGTAAGTACAAAACACAACATATAGAGTGCAGGGGCCAGGAGTAAGTACAAAACACAACATAGAGAGTGCAGGGGCCAGGAGTAAGTACAAAACACAACATAGAGAGTGCAGTGCCAGGGTAAGTACAAACACAGGAGAGTGCAGGGGCCAGGAGTAAGTACAAACACAACATAGAGAGTGCAGGGGCCAGGAGTAAGTACAAAACACAACATAGAGAGTGCAGGGGCCAGGAGTAAGTACAAAACACAACATAGAGAGTGCAGGGGCCAGGAGTAAGTACAAAACACAACATAGAGAGTGCAGGGGCCAGGAGTAAGTACAAAAACACAACATATAGAGTGCAGGGGCCAGGAGTAAGTACAAAACACAACATAGAGAGTGCAGGGGCCAGAGGTACAAAACAGGAGTAAGCAGGGGCCAGGAGTAAACAAAACACAACATAGAGAGTGCAGGGGCCAGGAGTAAGTACAAAAACACAACATACAGAGTGCAGGGGCCAGGAGTAAGTACAAAAACACAACATAGAGTGCAGGGGCCAGGAGTGCAGGGGCCAGGAGTAAGTACAAAACACAACATAGTCAGGATGAGCACCATGTTCACATAAGAGTCCCCAGGCAGTAAGTACCCTTACGTCAGTGTCCAGCCAGGATTCCCCCCTTACATCAGTGTCCAGCGGAGTCCCCCCTTATATCAATGTCCAGCGGAGTCCCTCCTTTGCATCAGTGTCCAGCAGAGTCCCCCCTTATGTCAGTGTCCAGCAGAGTCTTCCCCTTACATCAGTGTCCAGCGGAGTCCCCCCCTTTATCATCATGTCCAGTGGAGTACCCTCCTTTACATCAGTGTCAGCAGAGTCCCCCCTTATGCAGAGTCCCCCCCCCTTACATCAGTGTCCAGCAGAGTCCCCCCCCCCCCATCAGGTGTCCAGCAGAGTCCCCCCCCCTTACATCAGTGTCCAGCAGAGTCCCCCCCTTACATCAGTGTCCAGCAGAGTCCCCCCCCTTACATCAGTGTCCAGCAGAGTCCCCCCCCTTATGTCAGTGTCCAGCAGAGTCCCCCCCCTTATGTCAGTGTCCAGCAGAGTCCCCCCCCCTTATGTCAGTGTCCAGCAGAGTCCCCCCCTTATGTCAGTGTCCAGCAGAGTCCCCCCCCTTACGTCAGTGTCAGAGTCCCCCCCTTATGTCAGTGTCCAGCGGAGTCCCCCCCTTACGTCAAAGCTCAGCGGAGTCCACCCCCCTTACGTCAGAGCTCAGCGGAGTCCACCCCCCCTTACGTCAGAGCTCAGCGGAGTACACCCCCCTTACGTCAGAGTTCAGCGGAGTCCCCCCTTATGTCAGAGCTCAGCTGCTAACTGGACATGGAATAGTGAAGTGTGAAGCTCCTGGAAGAACAGGGAGGGGGGAGGTAGATAAGGAGAGAAGGGGAGGAGGTGTGGGGAAAGCTCCATGGTAGAGAAGAGATCGCTCACCCCCAGGCTGCTCTCTGCAGGCTCAGACTTCGCCAATTGTACAACCGGATGGATCTTCAAATTTCCCGCCCACGGGGCAGTCACAGAGCAGAGGGGCGGGAAGAGGCGGAGCAAGACAGAATCTCTCTCCTCCCCCGTCTATGCGGGGAGGGAGGGGGAAGTGTGCTGTCTGAGCAAGTGTCACAGACACTGAGCGTGCCCAGCTGCAGCCCGCCCCCCCCCCCCGGAGTCTACCAATCACTTTCTTCAGTAAGCCCTGCTGCTTGCCTGCAACAGGGAGAAATGTAAGAACACAACCTGCACTGCGCCCAGAACTACATGTCCCGAGAGTCAGGAGATAGGATTTGTAAATCCCTGAGTCCAAACTAAATGTGTTCCCATGGGGGCAGTAATTCTTCAATGTCCAGCAACCCTCCTATTCCCCCCTCACATCCACATCCTATTATTGTGTGACCAATACCATCCAAATCATTCTTACTTTCATTTCCCAAAGTTATCCGTCTACAAGGAGACCTGTATAGATCACATGATGGCACCAATGAGGATGGAGGAGGACCGGAGTCACATGACTGAGAAGATACTAAACCTCACCCTGGAGATCATCTACCTGCTGACCGGAGAGGTGAGGAGGATTCTGGGAGGTCACATGACATCACTCTTATCTCTATTAATAAAACACAGACCTGACCGGAGAGGTGAGGAGGATTCTGGGAGGTCACATGACATCACTCTTATCTCTATTACTAAAACACAGACCTGACCGGAGAGGTGAGGAGGATTCTGGGAGGTCACATGACATCACTCCTACATCTATTAATAAAACACAGACCTGACCGGAGAGGTGAGGAGGATTCTGGGAGGTCACATGACATCGCTCTTATCTCTATTAATAAACACAGACCTAATAAACATCATAGATCTGACCGGAGAGGTGAGGAGGATTCTGGGAGGTCACATGACATCACTCATCTCTAGTAATAAAACACAGACCTGACCGGAGAGGTGAGGAGGATTCTGGAAGTCTAACATGATATTCCTATTGGTTCCTCAATACAGAGATTTCCTCTTCTGAAGTCAGGTGATCATATGACCATCACAGTGCCTCCATGTGACTCCCTAAAACCTGAGAGACACAACATGCAGAAGATTCTAGAAGTCACCAAGAAGATGATGGAGCTGCTGACAGGAGAGGTGAGCGGTGCCGGGAAATCTGGGACATTCTCCAGTAACAGACAAGGGATGTGTCTGGATGTGACTGTATCATTGTGTGTGTCAGGTTCCTATAAGGTGTCAGGGTGTCACTGTCTATTTTCTCCATGGAGGAGTGGGAGTATTTAGAAGGACACAAGGATCTCTACAAGGACGTCATGATGGACAATCAGCCGCCCCTCACATCACCGGGTAAGAGGAGACTTTATTGTAAAGGAGAGAGCAGTACGGAGGATCCACCTAGATCCCCCATCATCTGATAAACACATAGAAACAATGGATTCAGTCAGTGTGTGTGTTTCCTACAGATGGATCCAGTCATGGGAACCCACCAGAGAGATGTCCCCGTCCTCTGTATTCCCGGGATTCCACACAGGAAGGTCACACCATCCCTCACCATCATCAGGTAGATGATGACAATTATTGGTAGTTGTGATTTATACACAGCATGTTTGTTACAATGAATGTTTTATTATATCTTTCAGAGTGGAATCCTCGGGGATGATAATATTGATGTTAAAGAAGAGTATAAAGAGGAGGATGAGGAATATGGAGTGATGGAGGAGTTTTCAGAAGGACACAAGGATATGATGGAGCCACCTAATACCAGGACCCCACCAGAGAGATGTCCCCGTCCTCTGTATTCCCGGGATTCCACACAGGAAGGTCACACCATCCCTCCCCATTGCAAGGTTGGTGGGATGGAGCATCTAGAACATGGATTCATAGAGACAATGTGTGGAGTTCTTTTATGTGACCTTACATTTTACAGATGATATTTTCTCTCTTTTCCTTGATTTAGAGTGGAGATCCAATCGATATAGAATTTGAGGTGAAAGCAGAAGAAGAAGAGGCGTATGTGAGGGATGATCAGCAGTCTATGGAGGAGGATGGAATAACGGGGACATTTATAGAGGAGGACACTCCTACAGAGATCAGCACAGGTGGTCATGAACACTAAATCCATTCCTCCACCCATACTGCTCACTGATTGGTCCAGAGTAGGGCGGGGACTGTGGGTGATATCAGCCTGTAATCCCCTGGGGGGGTCACTTTCCTGAGCTGTGTTCCCCGTCCTGTATTCCTGGATTTCTCTCGGATAATCTTCCTTCTCTGTGCTGCAGACACAAATTTATGTATCTAGACTGGATTTATGGAGTTCTGGGGTTCAGCTGGCAGAAAATATTGATTTTTACTCTAAGCATTGCATAATGTAGGCACCCAGGACATGTGACTGGGGTCTCCTGCCTTGTGCCTGACTCTCCAGGGGACCTTCTCTGTTATCTGCTGGCTGTGCCGGGTGGAGGGATATGTCTGTAGTGTCTCAGACCCAAGTCACTGAGTGCAGTCTCAGGAGATGGGAGGCAAGCAACCCCTTTAAGGACCTTTAATTATTGAATAACAATATTATCAGTCCTGAACCATACACTATATAATTTATATTGTACATTCCACTCCTAACCCTGCACTATATACTCTATGTTGTACATTACATACTCTGACTCCCTGCACTATATACTCTATGTTGTACTTTACATAACTCCTGACCCCTGCACTATATACTCCATGTTGTACATTACATACTCCGACACCCCTGCACTATATACTCTATGTTGTACATTACATACTCCTTACCCCTGCACTATATACTCTATGTTGTACATTACATACTCCTGACCCCTGCACTGTATAACTCTATGTTGTACATTACATAGACCCCCTGTTGTACATTACACTGCCTCCCGACCCCTGCACCTGTATACTCTAAATGTTGTACAATACATAGTCTGCTCTGCTCTCCCCCCCTTCCCCCCACTGCTATATATACACATAATATGGATTCTCTTTGTTACAAACCCATTCCTACCAGCTGGACATTTTCCAACTTTGGACCCTTAAACAGAAAGTGATAATGAGGGAGGAGTCAATACCCCAATGATGGTGGTCTTCAGGATCAGTCCAGTCTTCATCTTGGTTGTTCTCCCCCCATCCTCACTCTCTGACCTCTGGGTGGGGCTCAGCCCCGCTGTTCTTCATGACTAAAATCATGGACTAAATAAGGAAGTGCAGTACTTCTTGTGTTGGGAAGATGGCGATGAGTGATAGAGGGGTGGGGACTCTCGTCCTATAATCCCCTCATCACTGTCCCCTCCTATAAAAGACAGTTTCTGTTGTTTCCTCACTCTCTGACTAAGGTCCATGAATAAAGAAATGACCTGGTGGGAGATCAGAGGAGCCATTTCCTAGTTCCCTTGAGGGGGGAATTGTAAGCTCCTCAGAGACCAAGCTGCCTGATGTGGGTGGGGGGAGTCCTGGTTTGGGGGAACCAATCAGCTCCTGTCTAGTAATCCTCTTTGTCTTTGTATTTTAGTCCATGGCCGGGAGATGAGGAAAAACCTCCGAGGATTGTCTCACTTTGTCTCCAGACTGGAAAGTAGAAGATGAGGACATCACACAGTATAGTCCAGGAGAAAACCCGGCTCCCTCCAATGTCCATCCCGGCACCACCCAGTGTAGATGGACCATCGGATTCCTCGTATCCTGAGGATCCTCAGACTGTGCGGGACCAGGCCGGCCTTCCAACAGGGAAGACATTCTCCTGTACGGAGTGTGGGAAGGGTTTCCTTTATGAATGCCGTCTTAATGTGCAAATAAAAGGTCTCACACGGGGGAGAAGCCATATTCCTTTGTGCTGAGTGTGGGAAATGTTTTCAGTTTATAAATCCCATCTTAATGTGCATAAAAGATCTCACATGGGGGAGAAGCCATATTCTTGTCCTGAGTGTGGAAAATGTTTTTCAGAGAAGTCCAGTCTTTACAGACATCCAGAGATCTCACACGGGGGAGAAGCCATATTCCTGTTCTGAGTGGTGGAAAATGTTTTTCACTGAAGTCCCAACTTTTAACACACATCAGAGATCTCACACGGGGGAGAAGGCATATTCCTGTCCCGAGTGTTTGGAAATGTTTTTCACTGAAGTCCAATCTTTACATACACCAGAGATCTCACACGGGGGGAGAAGCCATATTTATTGTCCTGAGTGCGGGAAATGTATTTTTTCACAGAAGTCCCATCTATTTACACACATCAGAGATCTCACACAGGGGAGAAGGCATATTCCTGTTCTGAGTGTGGGAAAATGTTTTTACAAGGAAGTCCAATCTTTACATACACCAGAGATCTCACACGGGGGAGAAACCAGTTTTCCTGTTCTGAGTGTGGAAAACGTTTTTTCAGAGATGTTCCGGTCTTCATAAACATCTGAAATCTCACACGGGGAGAAGCCGAATTCCTGTTTCTGAGTGCGGGAAATGTTTTTTCACAGAAGTTCAGTCTTCATCAACATCAGAGATCTCATCACGGGGGAGAAGTCGTATTCCTGTTCTGAGTGTGGGAAATTTTTTTCACAGAAAATCCACTCTTTACAGACATCAGAGATCTCACACGGGGGAGAAGCCGTATTCCTGTTCTGAGTGTGGGAAATTTTTTTCACAGAAGTCCACTCTTTACAGACATCAGAGATCTCACATGGGGGAGACAAGCCGTTATTCCTGTCCTGTGTGCGGGAAATGTTTTCAATCCAGAAGTCCAGTCTTTTCCACACATCATAAAATCTCATGTGGGGAAGAATCCACTTTCCTGTCCTGCGTGAGGGAAGTGTTCCTCACTGAAGTCCTGTCCTTCCTGTACATCAGGGGTCCTACACAACCCTGGAGGTGTATTAGTGTCTTCAGTGCGGGAAATGTTTTCTAGATGAATGTTGCTGGACATCCCAGCTTCTCATGTGGGGAAGAAGCCACACCCTGATATAACACCTCAGATACTCCATGGCTGATCTTCTTCATGGAAGAGAAACAGTTGTTAAGGAGATCAGAGGCCCCCAAAGACACATGGATGGAAGTGCAGTAAATGTCGGGGTGCAGAGTGGGTCAGTAGATCCTGGAAATGAAGGACACAACTTCAGCCCTTCTTGGGTGTCGAGTTTTGCGTTTCCTGATAATGATATAGCGGGTTACAGAGCTAGAAGCCGGGGAGAGCCCAGATCTCGTTATCGGGAACTTTACACAGACAACAAGAACTTCTGAAGTTGATGTCCTTCATTTCAAGGCTCTACAGAACAGTGGTGACCCCGAAGCGTCTCTCTGTCTTTAGTCCCATCCTTCTCCCATCCCCCAACAGGAGGGAAGGAGAACTCTGCCCCAAACTAGGGGGGAACTTTCCTCTCATTATTTCCCTTTGCTTCTGTGTTGGGTTTGGGTGGTTGGAGGAGTGCGGCACGAGAGGGAACACAGCTTGTTGTTCTATGTCTACCCATATGGGGTCTGAGGTAAGGGGATCCACCGGAAAAATATTTCTACTCTTTGATTTTGTGCAAATCGTTTCTGTTTTTTCACTTTGAAGGGCGATATTATGTGATTTGTTTTTAAAAGGGATTGGCCCAATAGATACCGCCCCACTTAGAGAATAGATGAACTAATATGGACCAGCATTCATTTCAGCCATGTCACATGTTGGGATCTTTTCTGACAATACTTTTGTTATAATAATGGGACACGATAGTTGTGTATTGTATTGTACACCAATAATAATGACTCCGCCCCCACATTCCAGACAAGGGATCTTCCTGACCAATCGGAATTCCTTATTTTACTGTTTCCTGATTTTATTTTCTGCAATCTTGTTAAAAAGTGAAATTATAAAAAAAAATGTATTGAATGAAAAAAACAAAATGGTGTGTGTGTGCAATGATGACAAAGCTGTGTATCTCCAGAAACGGCTGGTCGGTGACACTTCCATATACAGCCCAATGAAGTGACAAGGATAAGCCCCTAGAACCCTTTGGAGGAACCCTGGCTGAGAAAGGCTGGACTAGGCAGTCCCACATATCTCTGCCCCTCCCCCCTTGCAGGGTTATCCCAACCCTCCGTGACTATTTTATTAACTGACACAACATGAACATTTACTGATTGGTGGACATGTTTTTACTGACATCCTGAAAAATGACAGAACTCCTGTTATTTATTAGGGGGATGTCAGACGATGGATATGAATCCATATAACAGGACATGTGATCACTGACAATCCCCAGAACAAGCCATCTGCCTGGTTTACACCTAATAATTCAATCCATGGTGACCACAAATCAGCCCAACGCAGACACATGAAAACAACAACCAGTATTCTCGGCTCGGCATGCCATGGAGAGTAATGGGCACGGTCAGTTGGGAGGAGGGCTTAGAAGAGGATGATGTCACAGACCCGCCCCTGATCACCTACCTCTAAATGAAGGAAAGCAGCTGATTGGGTGAGTACACATTGCTGTGACCTCCATGCTTAGCTTCACAGTAGCAGCAATTTTACCTTCACATGCCGAGTCTCACAGGTGGCACCCGCCTGTCATTCCATTGTGCTGAAATGTCATTGCAGCCAACTCAGAATGGTCCTCAGTAGTCTGTATGGAGCCCCATGTGCTTGTATTCATGCCTGACAACATCAGGGGAGGCTTCTAATAAGATATCACCAGCAATACTCCATCATCCATCCACTACACATCTGCATCAGAGGCTGGTCAATGAGCTCTGAGGGTAAGGGATTCATCCCGATAATTGCTGTCGATTTAATTTGAACTGCCAAAAATAAATGACACTTGGAACACCTTGCTTGCCGTTGTGGCCGATCGTATTATGCATAATGCTTTTTAGATACATTGCGTCATCCGGTGAAGTATGGTTTTATTTTTTCACTCCTTTCAATAAATCCTTGGATAATGCACAAGGTGTGTGCGCAACCTCTTTATATCTCTATCTAGTGTGCTGATCTCCCCGTCTGAGGAGGGCTGCACCCCTGAAAGCATTTCCTTTGGTTTGTCGCTGTCCTGGTTCCCTTGGCTTCCCTTTGTGGCTGTGCATATCCTGGAGGTGCTGGAAGAGTACAAACGATATCCTGAGTTTGGTTGCAACATGGTGGCGTCGGCGATGACCAAAAACATGATAATTTTTCCTAGAGGTGTTCTGTTGGATTTAGGTCAGGTATGTGAAAGGATTGATTTTGCTTATCCCCTCAGAGACCCGCCTGTCCTGTGGGAGAGATTCCTGGTTATATCGGCGAGCAGAATTCTGGGGACACCCCTTGAAACACGGAAATAACGGCAGCTTATTGTGCAGGAAGATGTTCAAAATGTATTAGACATTAACTAAGAATTTAATATAGGATACAGAAAAATAAGGGGGGGGGAGCGAAGTTCTAAAACTGTAACTTGTAAGTTTCCCATCATGAGCTGACTACATGAAACATCACAATATACATTTCTTGGTATAAAACTGTTTTTGCTTGCTTTCTGAGAAATAGCCGGGCAAAGAAAACTTCAGGGGTTGTCTATATCTTTTGTTGATAACATCCTTTCCAGCAAACTACAACAGTTCCATTAATACTTCAAAATATATCTGCAAAAACCGAACTTACATACTTAAAATGGCGTTACCATCAACACTATGGAGGTTCTCTAGATCCTTTCACTCCCCTCTTAGATCATGATACATGATCTTCAATTCTTTTACCTCATTCCATTCTTTTTTGTACATTTAGGGCCAGATAACCTTCATTTGTATTTTTGCCGGCTTGGTCGCTCTAAATAGCCAAATGCATTATAATAAGCATTTTAAATCATAGGATATAATAAATAAAACAAAAAACTATATCATGGACTATTCTTACAAGCTATACCTTTCAAATCCATGATAAAGACGGAACCAAATCCTGATCCTATACCAATCAAAAGGGAGTCCATCCATCTTTTCCTATAGCTCTAGCTTCTTCCCATTATAACCATCTACCTGTTAACCCTGTGTTGCTTTATTATTTCATAATAATATGGAACAGTCATTGTGGTAGTATATATCCAAGTACAACATTCAGAATCCTCTGTCATCTTCACCACAGGACCTGTAGAGCAGCACTCATGCTTTCAATAGCCTAATTCCTTGCATCTCCAGCTGTTCTCTAATAGGCTCTGGTCCTCGGTATTTGCAACCCCCCATGTCCTTAGAGTTTTCCTCTTCCGAGTATATCATCAATAATGTTTGTGTAAATTATTTATTTTTGTTCATGGAGTGTTATTCCCCATGCCCGAGTAGGTAGGGAAGCCCATGACCAAAACCTTATCACCTGTAGAGAATAGATCTAAACCTTTTCTTGTTTGGTTTTCCCTTCTCTTGTCACAGAGTTAGTTTGGTTAATTTTGGGTTATGTAACTGGCTTTTTACCTGGTGTTCCTTCTGGTCTATAGTCTGCCATGAATTTGGCATAATATGGGCTACATAAGCACCAGCCCCTGGTCACTTACTCGGTTATCCAAAGGGTTAAACCAGATCTTAATACCACAACAGATATAGGTTATTGTTTCTCCAAGGAGAATCGGCAAATTTTTGTATTGTCAGAGCAAAATTTCACGGGGTGTACAAGTGGTGAAATAATAAAAACAATGTTTTCCAAACATAGTTTTCGCCCCACATTGTTCTTGCTATCCCTTCTAAACATTCATTTTCAGGGCTCTACTATTTACCTGCCAGCGTTTTCACAGAAGAAGATACCATCCGCTCCTTTCCAGGATCAGATATATTTTTTTTAAATAAAAAAAAAAATAAATTATGTGACTGAGAGCACATTTCCCTTTCCCTTGTGGGAAGTATTCCCCAGTTCTTAAAACACCAAGTCGGGGAGTTGAGTGACTCCCAGTAGTATGGAAAAGATCCTTATGGCGGCATTAGAAATAATATTGGTCATACCAATACTTTTTACATTCCCTGTTTATTAAACAAAAATAATTTTGACTGGAGCGGCCAAGAAGAGGAAATTTCCTATGTGCTCGGGAATGTAACTTACTACACGATCCGACATTTATCAGAACCTGACGATTGAGCATAAGCAGGATTTAAAACTGCATCATCTACATTTTCCTGAAAAAGGATTGTTCTATTCAAAACTTCTTTTTGACCTTTCATTTCACCTTTTGGTTTATCTGGGTCTCAATTTAAAACTAGTCCCTTGACGCGACAGATCACCTTTTATTAGGCCCCAAGTCCTCAGGGTGAATAAATACAGTTAGATGATCGATTCCATACTGGCAAGAAAAAAGAGCAGTCAGTGTGCCCCAATCGGACCCAGAGCTTCAAAGCTCCATGAGGGGGCAGTTAAGGTATTGTCATCTATCAGGGTCTTTCTCACCGACTTCACTCGGCTCCTTCGAGGATTTTCTCCTACTTGTCCATTCACACCTCCTCTTCCCATCTCGTGTTTCTCAGGGTGTTTGGTTCACCTTCTTCACTCGACTTGAGCACATGGATCCCAGACTGTGAATCTCTCACACAGAACAACCGTTTCTGGTAAACCGTTATTCACTGCAAGTAGGTGGTCCAAAGGGGTAGCCCCCCCCCCCCCTTGCTTCTTGTCCTTTAGCGAGGGGTTGGCGGACCACTACGGACATATCCCATTGGAAAAGGTGTGTTGGTTCCTGAAAAGATAATAGAAAAAGTGAGGCGAGCAACATTTCTTTCAACCTTATCTAAACTCTGAATCAATTTTCCTCACATATGCTTGTTTGTAACCAGGTCAAGGTTCCCTCTTTCTAACATAAGTGGGGCTGTCCTAGCCCAA